CTCTTCCACAGTGGTTGCACCAGCTTGCATTCCAACCAACAGTGGACCAGGGCACCTTTTTCCCATATCCTCGCTAGCATTTGTCATTTGTTGATTTTTGTATGAGAGCCATTCTGACTGCAGTGAGGTGAAACCTCACTGTGGTTTTCATTTGTGTTTCCCTGATGGCTATGATTCTGAGCATTTTTTTCAAGTGTCTGTTGGCCATTTGGTTTCCTCTCTTGAAAAATGCCTGTTCAAATCTTTTTGCTTATTTCTTAACCAGAATGTTTTGTTGTTGTTGAATTTCTTAAGGTCTTTATAGGTTCTGGATGTTAACCCTTTACCAGTTGTGTAATTTGCAGAATGTTTTCTCCTGTTAGATCAGTTTCCTCTTCACTTTGCTGAATGTTTCTTTTGCAGTGCAGAAGCTTTTCAGCTTGGTGTAATCCCATTTGTCAATTGTGGTTTGACTGCCTGTGCTCCTGAGGTCTTTTCCAATAAGTTTTTGCCTGTGCCAATGTTTTGCAGAGTTTCCTCAATGTTCTCTAGTAATTTGATAGTATTGGGTCATGGATTTAGGTCTTTGATCCGTTTTGAGTAGGTTTATGTATAAGGTGTAAGGGAAGGATCTAGTTTCATACCTCTGCATGTGGACATCCAGTTTCCCCAGCACCAAACTGTCCTTGTTCAAGGGATTGACTTTAGCCCCATTGTCAAAGATAAGTTGATTGTAGATGTGTGGGTGGATTGCTGGAGTCTCTGTTGTTTTTTGTTGGTCTACACATCTGTTTCCATGCCAGTACCAGGCATTTTGATTATAACTGCCCTGTGGTATGTCTTAAAATCAGGTATCCTTGTTGGCCTTCCTGCTTTGTTTTTGTTGCATAAGGTTGCTTTTAGCTATTTGGAGTCTTGTGTTTCCATATGAATTTTAGCATCATTTAAAGAACTAAGTCCAATTCTCAAGTTACTCAAAACAGTTGAAAGGGGGTACCCTCCCAAATTCCTTTTATGAAGCCTGCATCACCTTAATGCCTAACCCAGAAAAAGATACAACAGAAAATGAAAACTACAGACCAATTTCCCTGATGAAATAGATGCAAAAATCCTGAACAAAATATTAACTAAGCAAATCCAAAAACACATCAGAAATATAGTTCACCCTATCTCTTCCACTAAACTGTGAACTCCTTAAAAATGAACTTATGGGTGGCTGTGTGGCATGGTAGTTAGGACACTGCTTGGGATGCCCTCATTGCACATTAGAGTGCCTGGGTTTGAATCCTGGTTCTGCATCCAATTCCAACTTCCTGTTGAGGCACAACACGGAAGGCAGCAGGTCGTGGCTCAACGGGTTGGGTCCCTAAACCATGTGGGAGGCCTGGATTCAGTGCCAGCTCCTGTTGTGGCCTGTTTCATCCAGGCTGCTGTGTTTTGGGGGAAGTAAATCAGAGGATGGCAGACCTCTGTCTTTCTTTGCCTTTCAAATAAATTTATATTTACTTCTGACTTTAGATTTACTCAGTGCTAAACTAATGCATTTATACAAAGTAGAACACATGAGCTAGGTACCTGCTGAACAGATGAAGATAGTGTGGTGTGTTGTAAAGCGAGAGAGTGCTGTGGTAAGAAAGTTGCAGTTCCCAGATGTTCCTGCAGTGGACAGGATGTGAAGACCCACAGAGGCGTCATATTTTGTCGTTCCCCCTCTTCGTGGAGGAACGACACAGGACCCTGCGCTGTTCTTTTGTCTGCTCGGCCCTCCCCGGGTTTGCTGCTGGTTCTTCCCGGGTTGGCTACTATCCCTTCCACCTCCGTGGAAGGGCAGTTCCCCCTGGCCACATTCCCCACTTCCGCAGGGGAGCGGCACACCGCCGGCCGGCTTTTCTCGGGGGCTGCACAGGTGTTCCTTCAGCTAGATGTTCCCCATAGATGTTCCCCATAGATGTTCCTGGTGCATGCCGTCTCTCTCCTCCTTTATAGTCCTCCTCCGCCAATCCCAACTCGGCTGCCCACACGCCGAGTACGCTGCTTTCCAATCAGGAGCAAGTCCTACAGTTTATTGGCTGAACTGGAGGCAGCTGTGCAGAAGCTGTTTACTTCTCTCCCAGCGCCATATTGTGGGAGAGCAGATGCATAGAATAAGTCTTAATTCCAGTAACTCAGTCCAGTCCGGATTGCTCCCCACAATATTTAAGGGCTGGAAGTAGCCTTAAAGATAGCTGGTCAGTGAGCCTCGCATGAGAGCCAGGTCAGGACCAGAGCCAGTCCCTCCATGGTACACATGATGGCGGGTCTCATAAGCTCTCAGCTGCTTAGAGTATCAACAAACAGAGCCACTCACATGTTTTAATAGAGATAAAAGTTGTATGCCATTCAGTTATAGAACCATTATAGAAACATTCTCAGTGTAAAACCTCTGTTGTCTCATGCTTGATTTATGCAAAGTTGGATCAACTTGAATTAACTTAGAATAGTTAATTCTGGAATAGAACCTGTACTAGACTGATCTATATGATGCTTATTAAAATATCATATGACTTTGTGGGGTGTAGCACGTCTTTACTTATGTGAAGTTGGAGCCTTAAGGAAGGACTAAAGCTGTTTGCTTGTCTGGGGTGCTTGGTTGCTATTATCCCTTCCTGATTTTCTTTTGTTTTGGTAGGAGCAAAGTGCTAGATTTCCTTAAAAAGGATGGGGCACTTGTTATTTGTTGATTTATTCATTCATTTCTTTTACTCTTGCACAGTATAAAGGAGGCAGTACAAGGGTCCTGGTGACAGCTTTTCATTATAAAGGCTCTCTACTGATATTTTTATTTTTCAGCTACTTTCCTTTAATTTTGAAAAGCAATAAAAGAAGTAATGAATCTGAAATTGCTGGCAGGATATACAGATTCTTTAAAATGGATCTTAGTTTGTTGTGAATCAGGAAGACATTGAAAATCAGATGAAAACATGAGCTTACAGATGAACAAGTCAGTATATTATGTAGAATTATGTAGTAAGCTCCTGGCTCTGTGGTTCCCCTGAAGAATGTATAGAACTCAAACAAGGAAGTCTCTGTTTCAGAGAGGACTGTTTAAAAATTTCAGTAGCATGCTAGAGCAATTTTAAATATTTTAGCTGGTATTGTGGTAAGCGTTCTGTTACTGTGGTAAGCATTAGTGATAGGATAAAGCATTAATATATATCCTGAAGCATAAAAATGTTACCAGCTGTGATTCCCCTCGGATGCCCTGATGATAGCCGATGTGCACATGAGCACACCTCAAACGTGTTCCTATTTGAAAAATGTTTATGAAGTGGAAGATACAGGTCAGAAAGCATTAGATGTTGAGAAAGGCCAATTGCCTCACTTCAGCTCTGATCAAACCAAAGGAAAGCAGAATCCACAGTGTGAATCCGAGCAAGGATTTTTCTTTTTTGCATCTAAAGATGGAGGAGAGTTGAGAGTGAAGTGCCTTGAGAAGTAATCAGGCTGAGCCGCCTACCAGGCTTGAACCCAGCCCCTCGCCTCCCACGGTCATTAGCCAGCCTGGTCAAAGCATTTCACGCATGTTCCAGATGCGGGACATTCGCGTGGTGTGGTGGTTCTTTGTGTCGAGCTGAAGTCAGTACTCACCACGTCTACCCCTTTGGCCCCATCCATGACTTCAAATGAGGCTGCAGTATTTAAAATGGCAAAAAGTGGCCACTTTATATAACAGCTACAGTTTATTTGTAGTCATTGAAACATCGTTAGAATTTCTGCATATACTTCACTCTGGATATATATCAAAGGTTCGTACAGATTTTAATGACGTGTTTGAAAGTACTTTTGTGTAAAGCCTTACTGTTATTGTTGTCAGGAAAACAACAAACTCAAACAGTCCATTTGTTGCATTTATCATTAATTTCAGCATTTTTAAGGCCCTAATAAATGATAAAGATTCCAATGATTGAAAAACCAGTGGTACATGTACAGCTTTATTTCAGAGTAGGAAGTAGACAGTGTCCTGGTGAGGTGTCTGATCTTATAAAAATTCACTTTAGAGGAAATTTGAAGTCTTAATTGCATTTTATCGATCAACAAATGTAGATCGAGAAAAAGTAAAATTGATTAAAAATCAGTTTGATAGCAAGACTATTTACTAGTCATGAAATCATTGAAAAATAATTGATGAGTTCACAAATTAAGTATTTCTTAATTGCCCCAATGTGAAGTTTGCATAAAAACTTTTTAAAAATACCAATCATGGGGAAACCCCTTAACATTCTGTAAGGGAGAAATTATTATAAAAGATTTTAAAACTGTTCACAGGGAGAGGAATAATTTTGACGTACTAGAATCAAAGTGGCCAGTATTTTGGTCTTGTTTAGAGTACAAGCGGCCATTTCCCATCTGCTCTAAGGAAAAAAGAGACGGCGAGCACTTGCCCCTTCAGTGACTCATGTTTATGTAAATATGTTCCTGCCTCTAGAGAGAGTTTCTCAGGTGCCTTCATAAGCATCATGTGATTATTGGTACAACCTGAAGCAGATGAGGGTGAGGAAACCTTTTTAAGGCCTCTAAAGTACAATGTAAAAGTTCCTGAACTTTAATTTTAATTGCTTGAAGACATATTCCAGTCCTTTAACTACTAGAAATTTATGAAAGCTAGATATATTTAGATCACTGGGATTTTCTGGTAGCAAATGAGGTTGCCGTGTGTACCAGAGTTCATTTAAGGGGGGTTTAATTGTCATGGCTCAGCTGTCATAGCCATGCCTGCACTCTGTCCTCAGAGTGTACTTTGAATTAGACTTTGCTTGTAAATAAATCTCGTTTCTTTGCTGACCTTTAAAAAAGAGAGAGAAACCAAAATGCCATTTTATTTACAGTTGTCTCGAACTATCCTCATGTTCCTCCAAAATCTGTCATTAGTACTTCAAATAACATTGACTGACAGTATTGTCTCAAGTAACTGAAGTAGTCCTAGGATCAGAACTTGTGCTTGTTATTGGTGGTTTTTTTTTTTTTTTGTATTTTTTTCCTAGTTGGAAGGGCACAACATCTTCTCCACCCTGAGCTCCAGTGAGTATGAACAGGTGCTTGAGATCATCCGCAAAGCCATCATTGCCACAGACCTTGCTTTGTACTTTGGAAACAGGAAGCAGCTGGAAGAGATGTACCAGACTGGATCGCTAAACCTTAATAACCAATCACATAGGTAAAAATAATTCTTAAAGTTTAGAAGCCCAGAAAGTGTTGTCTATAATTCATTGATTTTTTTAAATGTACTTTGGCATGAATTTATGTTTGGAAACAAAAATGCAAACTTTATTTATTTAGGCTTTATGTGTATTTTGTTTATATTTATTTTGGACATTTTATTTCTTACAGTTGCTGACAGTGTTTTGTGAGGATAATTTAAATGCAATTGGTATTTAAATTAGTCACACTGGAATAGGACTTACAAAGGGAAAGCCTGGCAAATGGTGACCGAGGCGTTCCTCTTCGAGTTTACCTCAGTCCAGGTGTGGTCACTGGCCTCAGAGATGCAAAAGCACATGGAAATGGATCAGTTTTCCAGAATCCAAATCCTGGTAACCAGGCTAATGTGACCGATGTGTAGAAATGGAATTCCAGTCACAAGGATCAGAAAATTGGCATTCTGTGTGGTCAGGGTTATTTTGGGAGCCAGGGAGCAGTGAAAAATGTGTTTCATGAACATGGATTCAGAACACAGAGAATGAGAGTCGCTAAATGATCGAGCCTGACTTGGGAGGTGGATTCAGAACCCTCTCAGGTATGTTCCTTGTGAGTGCGTCCACTCGCTTGTGTTAGCTCAAGGCCAGTGGCTAACCTGCCTTCTCTCCTTGCAGTGTTCGTGTAGTGGCCAGCAGCTTCTGTTTCGGTTCCTGTGCCCCTGTCCACACCACCTCCTTCTTGTGTGATGCTGTCTTTACTTCAGATCTGTGAGCACCCATTACTGGCGCATGCCACCCTTGCTGAATTCAGCTGCTTTGGGTGCTCCTCTGTGATCCATGAGTCCAGATCTCAGCACTTGTTTCCAGGGGTCACTCTGTTTTAAAGTTCCGAGACACAGTTCTCCCAGGTGCCCCCAAAGCAGTTAAGCCAACACCTGGATAGCTCCATCTCATCCAGGAATGCCTGGATTGGCTGTGCTCCAGATTCCAGCACCCTGGGATGTGGCAGGTAACGGCTTCGGAAGTTGGGCTCCTGCCACCCACAGAGGAGACCTGGATCGAGTTTCTGTTACTAAGCTTTTTTTCAGTCAGAGAAAATTAAATATCAAGTACAATTATATTATTTTGATTCTTAATGTACATGTATTGTGTTAGTAATATATTGTGTATACTTATATATCATTACATAATTTTTGAAACTTAATAATTTTAATGATATTTTCAGCAATTTCAAGAGTGTGGATGATTATACAAGAATGAGCAGTATTCTGCTCTTCTGTGCTACAGCACCAGCTGCCTATCTGTGTACTCTCCCTGCCGTCTGTTTCCTGTGTTCTCCCACGGGTGTGCGTGTGCGTGTGCGTGTGTGTGTGTGTGTGTGACAGTATATGGAATAGATACATACACACATTCTTTTTTAATTCTCCTTTTTTTGAAACCAAATGTGGTTATACCAAATCTATTAAGAAGTATATAATTATATAATATAATGTGGAGTACTATAAAAAGGTTTACTTAATTAGCGTTTCCTGTATTGATGACCAGTGTTTCCAGAATTTTGCATGAAAAATAATGCTGCAATGCATTCTTGCTTACATAGCCACAGTTTTACCTATGGATTCTTTAAAAAATGTATAACATTTACTGCTATAAATTTATACACATTATAGACCTTCTGAAAAGACTGTAACATAATGTGAAAAATCTTTTTCATTAAATATGCCAGTCTGTGCTCACTGTTTGGAAGATCATTCCATGTTTAATTACCTTTATAACTTACCTGTATGTATTTGTTTATAACTTTTGCTTATTTTTGTTGAACTCTTTACTTTTAAAAAATCAGTTTGTGTTCACATTTTGGGAAGGATATTAAAATGTTCTGTTATATTACTAATTTCCTTTAGGGTATTTTAAAAATTTTTATTAATTTTCTTTAGAAAACAAATAATTTTAGTGTCCTCAGGTCAAACCTATTATAATTTGTTTTTATCAGATCTCATGGTGATATAAGTAGCATTTCAATTTTTCCTTGTGTATGTTTATAGTTTTATTTTTATATCTTCATTCTTTTAGAGTTAAGTCTATCAGTATGCCTTTTTTATGTAAACTTGGATGATTTTTGGACCTCTTCAGCCATTTATTGCTCATTACCGAATCCTCAAATGTACTCATTTTTTGATTCCTGAACTGTGTTAACTTGTCATACATGCCTGGTAAGATAGTCCTTACCTTTCATTTACTTTTGAAATCTTTCATGGAAATCATCACTTAATAATGTTTTCTAAATTTTCTAAAATGATTTTCAAATAGAGATTTGCACTCATACCCACTACCTAGTTTCAGGGATTAAGATTTTGCTATGGTTTTCTGTCTCTTTCTTCTGTTCTGTACTAGTTTGAAGTACACTATAAGCGTCATGACCTTGCACCCCCTTCATCATGAATATTTTAAAAGAATCAACATTGTACTTCAGGTTTTTTATTTCAATCAACAAGAATCAATTTGACTTTTTAAATTATTACTAGTATTTTTGAGACACAGTGAGAGAGCTTCCATCTGCTGTCCACTGTCTCAGCAGAAGCCAGGAGCCAGGAATTCAGTTCGGGTCCCCCATGTGGCTGGCAGGAACCCAAGGGGACCTGAGTTGTCCCCTGCTGCCCTCCAGGGTGCACAGCAGCGAGGTGGAATTGGGAATGGAAGGAGAACTGACACCCAGCACTCTATAGGAAATGTGGGCTTCTTGGACTGGGTCTTGTCTACTAGGGCAAATACCTACCCCCACACTGACATTTTAATTGTATTTACTTATTCATTTGAAAATGAAAGAATAGCATCTTCTTGTATAAAACATGGTATGATTTGTCGTGAATGAAATTTGTAGTTTATTTTAATCCATCCAACAGCATTTTTCATAAAAATATCACTTCTTTATAAATTTCTATCCCTTACAAATGTATTTTCCCATTTCTAACTAGAAATCCAGTTTCCAGTAAAGATAAAGCTAGAGATTTTTCATATATTGTCATTTTTGCCATGTGTGTTTTGAAACTTTGTTATTGGATGCTTATACATTTACATCTGCTATCTCTTCTCAAGGCTTTACTTTCTCATCAAAATGAAACTTAATATTTTTTTCTGTTAATAGTTCTAAGTTTGCTGTGTCAATTTATGTTCAGAGAAATCATGTTTATCATTGCCTAGTGGCTTTATTTTCTCTTTGACCTTTTGTTCTGTATTTTTGCATTCTCCCTTTCTTTTTTTAAACTTTTATTTAGCAAATATAAATTTCCAAAGTACAGTTTATGGATTACAATGGCTTTTCCCCCCATAACTTCCCTCCCACCCGCAACCCTCCCATCTCCCGCTCCCTCTCCCCTTCCATTCACATCAAGATTCATTTTCAATTCTCTTTATATACAGAAGATCAATTTAGTATATATTAAGTAAAGATTTCATCAGTTTGCACCCACACAGAAACACGAAGTGTAAAATACTGTTTCAGTACTAGTTATAGCATTAATCCACATTGAACTACACATTAAGGACAGAGATCCTACATGAGGAGTAAGTACACAGTGACTCCTGTTGTTGACTTAATAATTTGACACTCTTGTTTGAGGCATCACCAATCTCCCTAGGCTCTAGTCATGAGTTGCCAAGGCCATGGAAGCCCCCTGAGCTCGCCGACTTTGATCTTATTTCGACAAGGCCATAGTCAATGTGGAAGTTCTCTTCTCCCTTCAGAGAAAGGTACCTCCTTCTTTGATGGCCCATTCTTTCTGCTGGGATCTCGCTCCCAGAGATTGTTCATTTAGGTGGTTGGTTTTTTTTGTTTCTTTGTTTTTGCCAGAGTGTCTTGGCTTTCTATACCTAAAATACTCTCATGGGCTCTTCAGCCAGATCCGAATGCCTTAAGGGCTGATTCTGAAGCCAGAGTGCTCTTTAGGACATCTGCCATTCTATGGGTCTGCTGTGTATCAACTTCCCATGTTGGATCGTTCTCTCCCTTTTTTTTCTGTTAGTTAGTATTAGCAGACACTAGTCTTGTTTGTGTGATCCCTTTGACTCTTAGACCTATCAGTGTGATCAATTGTGAACTGAAATTGATCACTTGGACTAGTGAGATGGCATTGGTACATGCCACCTTGATGGGATTGAATTGGAATCCCCTGGCACATTTCTAACTCCACCACTTGGGGCAAGTCCGATTGAGCATGTCCCAAATTGTACATCTCCTCCCTCTCTTATTCCCACTCTTATATTTAACAGATATCACTTTTCAGTTAATTTAAACACCTAAGAATATATGTGTGTTAATTACAGAGTTCAACCAATAGTATTAAGTAGAACAAAAAAAATACTAAAAGGGATAAAGTATTAAATTGTACATCAACAGTGATGACAAGGGCTGATCAAGTCACTGTTTCTCATAGTGTCCATTTAACTTCAACATGTTTCCTTTTTGGTGCTCAGTTAGTTGTCACCAATCAGGGAGAACATATGATATTTGTCCCTTTGGGACTGGCCTAATTCACTCAGCATGATGTTTTCCAGATTCCTCCATTTTGTTGCAAATGACCACATTTCATTGTTTTTTACTGCTGTATAGTATTCTGTAGAGTACATGTTCCATAATTTCTTTATCCGGTCTACTGTTAATGGACATTTGGGTTGATTCCAGGTCTTAGCTATTGTGAATTGAGCTACAATAAACACTGAGGTATAGACCGCTTTTTTGTTTGCCAGTTTAATTTCCTTTGGGTAAATTCCAAGAGGTGGGATGGCTGGGTTGAATGGTAGGGCTATATTCAGGTTTCTGAGGAATCTCTAAACCAACTTCCATAGTGGCTTAACCAGTTTGCATTCCCACCAACAGTGGGTTAGTGTCCCTTTTCCCCACATCCTCGCCAGCATCTGTTGTTAGTTGATTTCCGTATGTGAGCCATTTTCACCAGGGTGAGGTGAAACCTCATTGTGGTTTTGATTTGCATTTCCCTGATTGCTAGTGATCTTGAACATT